TCCCCCAGCACCACATGCCAGCCAGCCCCGCCCCCTGGTGGGCTGAGCTGGACACACACACACACACACACACACACACAAATAAATAAAAAAATAATATGAAAATAAAACATAACAATTACTTTTCACAATTATAAGCCCTGAGAAGCCAAATATGTATATTTCATATGATGTATAATAAAATTTAATGAGTGAAGTAGAAATTAATGACAACCCATGTATAAGATGGTTGAAAAATACACTGAATGCTTGAAGTTTTAAATAAAACTTTTAGTAAAAGACATGTTCCTATTAATCTCCCTCAAAATATTTTTCGTTTCACTCATTCCATCATTTTTGCTGCCTCTGAAGCAGTTCTAGAAGTGCCCTTTCGTAATTTCAGTTGTGCCTCCATATGCTCAATCAATTCAGATGACATCGGGCGCCACATGTATTTTGTGTGACCACAGATGTGCTAGTTTTTTACCATACCTTGGAAGACTTACAGAAAAGCACTTTCACAACTGCCTCAGAAAATACCAAGAATGACACGATAAATGTATTTGAAGCATGGAGGAATTTTCTGAAGGGGATTAATGATGATGTGTCTTCTACTGAATAATTTTTTTTTAATATAAACATTCAATATGTACTTTGATCTATTTTCTCTACTCAATGTTACCTTTCTCATTCATAGTATAAGAATTGAAGAATGGATAGGTTAAAAATCCTGCCCCATTTCTAAATGCCAGTGCCTGGACTTGAACTCAAATTAGCTTTCCTTTGCAGCACAAACTCTTCTCTCTATACGTTTGTCTTCTTGCCACAGTATAGTTAATGGTTATTAAAGCTTATAAACTTAATAAAGTATATTCTTCAATTCATATCAGAATTACAAAACCAAATCTGAATGCTCACCTCTCTTAGGACTGACTTAAAATGGGATCTTCCTGTTTTCTGAGACCATGTTTTTCCAGAAAGCCCATACCGAATCTGATTCCTCTTGCTCATGACATCGGCTTTCAGCTTTGGTGGTTCTCCTTCCATAACAAACACCAGCTTTATGTCCATTTGCATTAAATACGAGATACGAAAAAATAAGTTCCTGAAACATATGTCAGTAATGTATCAACTATAATGCACTGATAACAAAACATACTATAGCATAAAAGCTGTATTAGATAAAAATACCAAAAAGTTACATGGGCTAAACATATCAAATTAAGATGTACTTTAAATACACAGGGAACTGACCACTCTAATGCATGGCAGATTTATGACTATTGTCACTACAGTAAGGAAAATGGTTTGGAGAGGAAGCCCAAGAGCAAGGAAGGAAAATTAATGAAGGTGTCATTTCAGCAACACAGATGAGAGGTGACACTGGCATAGACTTGAGGTGGTATTTCTGGAAACTGAGACAAGCCTGTGAACATAAAGTATGTTTTGCAAGTAAAACCACAAATATTTGATGATGGATTGGATTTGAAGAAGAGTTAAAACTCTGATATAATGGCTCCTAAAATTCTGCCTTTGAGTAATCAAAGCAACCTAGAGGATATGCAGGGCAGGAGTAGATATGTGAGTCTGGAGCTTAGGGAGTAAGAAAGGGACAACTGTGGGCCATCGGATTTAGAGGTGTTCAATATGTTTTAAGATCTCTCAAAAGACACAAGTAATAAAGCCCAGACAAAAATCAAAGCTGCTTCAATCTTATAGTTACATTCTATAAGCTTTTACTATACCTGAGGTGGGGCTTCACCACAGTTCCCATCATTTTTTTGACAGACTGTGCCTCACACACCCAGAGACTCAGATCAACTGCAATGGTTTTCCCACTCAGATTCTGTAAGTGGATGTGTTGCTTAACAGGCTCCAAAATTTGCCACAAGTCATTTACTCCCATTCTGGTGATTATCTGCTGTCATTCAAAACATATTTTACAAAAAAATGTTATAAGAAACAATTTCAGGATAGAAACACAAACACTACATTCAGAACTAGTTCAGGATAACTCAGGATTTTTTGTCTTTCTTTCTTTTTTTTGGCAGAGCCAGGGATTGAACTCAGGCCCTTGCACTTGTCAGGGAAGCGTTTATTCCACTTAGCCACCTCCCTGGCCCCCTCGAATTTCTTGCATAGTCAACTTTTTTTTTTTTTTTTGGCGGAACTGGAGCTTGAACTTAGGCCTTTTATTCTACTGAGCCATCTCCCCATCCCTATAGTCAACTTTTTGAATGCAATCAAGAACACTGACTTTTTGAAAGCAATCAAGAATACCTAGAACATGAAAATAGCAGTAACTGGCTACAACCAGTAACGTGAGTACCAAATGTAGAGTCTTGTAGAAAATGCAGGGACACTAACTCATTTTCGTCTCATTCACAATTCACCCCTTGACATTATATATCTAAAGAGAATGGTACTAACAACCACAAGGAAGGATAGAAACAAATAACTAAGAAAAAAAAAATCCAAAACCCAAGAGGCTAATGAAAGAAAATGTTGGTGGAAAAATAGAAGAAACATGAAATAGTGATTATTGGCCTTTTTAAAAAAAAAATGTATTGATGGTCTACAGGGTCTGACTACACAGACTGGACTTGTAGTGATCATCCTGTTTTCAGTCTCCCAAGCGCTGGGGCTGGGATCACAGGTGCGCGCCACCATGCCCAGTCTCAGTTGCTGTCTAAGCACACCCCGGGGGGTGGGGCTGGCACAGCATGCCAGGGATTGAACCCTGGTTGCTGAGCCTGCCTAAGCAGGCGCTATAATCTGCTGAGCTATCTGGCCCAGATTATTGGCTTTTTATTCTCATGGTGACACATGTTCATTGTGGCAAAATAAAATTTTTCCATCAAATAAAAACCAATGCTAGGGCTGGCAAGATAGATCAGTGGTCTAAAGTGCTTGCTTAGGCAAGCTTAGGCAGGTGCAGGGTGACTGCAGTGAGATCCCCTGCACCACAAGCTGCGCTAGCCCTGCCTCAGGGCGGGCTGAACCAGCTCCCACCCCCCACCCCCCCCACCCCCGCCAGAAAAAAAGCTAAATTTTTACCTAAGTATAGCACAGGTCATTTCATGAATAAATTTGTCTTCAATTCTGCTACTGTAACCTACTTTGGTATCTTCTAAGGATAACTTCTCTTCAATAAATATTTACCTTTTTTGTGTGTTAGTAAAAGAAATTATGTAGCATTTACAATGAAATTAAGTCTGACTGTACTAATACAACCCAGATGATTAGCCTCTGGATAATAACCTTAATTCACACCAAAATGCAATGTAGGACAGACATGAGACAGAAGTCAAAAGACTACCAACTATATGCACAAACCTTCTGAATAACAACTATTATCTTTTCTTCAATAGTCTATTCTAAAGTAAATATTTTCAAATTGCATGTGGATGCAAAGAAAGTAAATTACGAAAGTGTTGCTATCTAAAATTTTGTTTTCAAATCTTAATTTTACAATGTATTCAGTGCAGCTACACAATGTATTTTTTATGAAGCACACACATGAAATCCTTTCTGAACAAAATACACAGGTGTAAACACAAAGCATTTTATAGTTAATAGGGTCCAGTGTTAATATTGTTTCTCTTTTTTTAAAAAAAATATTGTTTCATATCAATAAGCTGTGCAAGCCAGGGATATAGTTCAGTGGCACAGTGCCTGTCTGGCAGGTGTGAGGTCATGAGTTCAATTCCCAGTACCAATAAAATCCTCACACAAACAAAAAGTTGTGCTAGAAAACTGTAGTACTGGGGGCCTGCCCCTTAGCTCAGTTCTTTAAGTGGCTTCTTCAACAAAGCAGTGAGGCTCAGGTTGCTGTGGTTCAATCCCCACAACTCAAGCCAGCCAAACCTGCCCTGAAGACATTCTGAGCAAAAAAGAAAAGAAAACTGTAGTACTATGGCACAGATTCACAGTAAATGCGAAAAGTTGTGGGGTAATTCTAGAAAATTTTCTAAAGGAAATGAGATCTTAAAACTATCAGACATAAAAATATAACTCACAAAGCTTTAAGAAAAATTCTTGTTGATAACTTTGGTTTCCTTTATGACTCACATGGGATACTGGAATAGGCTGGTATAGAAGGGAACTAAGCAATTTCTTTCTCTGGTGAAATACTACTATAATCTCATTTATTAACATGTGATCTTGACTCTAGAGTTCCAAATTTAAAAGCAAGTATCCTCTAATTTAGCCATGTCTCTTCCAGAAATCAAACTTAAGATACATTCTTAGTGTGTACAAATTTATATAAAATACTGTAGCACTGCTTGTAATGGTGAAACTCAGAAAGAGCCACATATCCAGTAGTAAGAATAAAATAAACTAGATGTTCAGAGTGATGCCATAAATTAAAAACTGGGATAGACCTATGCACTGATAAAATAAAATCTTCAAGTTTTAAAATAAAAATAGGTATAGGAGAGAGGACCAAGATAGCAGAGTGGTGAGCAGTAGAGAAAGAGCCTCTCTGAGAGTCCCCATCCAGATGCTATATAATACAGCAACGTGAGGAAGACAAGGAGGGAAGTGGGTCCCCTGGACCCAAGGATATCTGGTAGGAACTGAAGCCCACGGAGAGTGAAGAGAGAAACTCCAACGAAGCAGGTAGCTGGTGGTGCCTTGTCCGAGCCAGGACTCACTATTTGAGAGGAATGATTCAGACCTGTGGAACAAGGTGACTGCTGGCAACCCCAGAGGCCTCTGTGGAGAGACCCAACAGTGGAAGGGAGCAGCATTAAGGACTTCACTAGCGGATGGTGAATGTAGAGGGCTTGGTTGTCTTGCATGAGGAAGCGACTCACCAGAAGCCACCTTGAAGAGGGGCTGGTTGAGCTCATAACTGAGTGGATGCCGCTCCTCCTAGAAGCTCCCAAATAGGCTCAGAACTGAGGAAGGTGGGTTGACAGCTGCAGGCTAGAAGATGCAGGCCCTGAGATTATCCAGCACACTTTCAAAAAGCTACTGCTGGCTTGCTGGGATAGATCAGCACAGATTGGGACTCAGTCTCCACGTGTTACCTGCCAGTGACAGCACAGACAAGGGTGGACTGGAAGAGGATATCTCTCTCTCCCCCCACTCCCGTTTACTTTTTCACTGTTTACTGTTGTTGAGGTTTCATTTCTTTTTTTCTCCCTCATTGTCTGATTTTGTTTTCATATGAGTGTGAATGTGGTGTCTAGCCTTTTTGTGGTTGTGGTTCTTTCTATTCTTTTTATCTCTTCCTCATCTCTCTCCCCTCCAATGTTCAACATCAGTTTGCCAAAGTTAGTGTGATCCCTCCTAGTTTTACAGCCTTCTAAACTCTTCGTCTTCTCCACTTCTCTATTTTCTCCCTAACCCATTTAAAATTTTAACCCCTGAGGGCAAAAGTGACATATTAAGGACTTGTACAGAGTATATAATTGGTTTTAGATTTTGTTATATAACCGTAAATCTAGTTCACAAGGTTGAAGGTGACAAATTAAGGGTTGGCTAAGTTTGTCATTTTCTAGGCTGTTTTGATGCTACTGTCATTGCTGATGGTACCACTGTAGCCAAAAGTGAAATAATTGTTTTAAACAGCTGTTCTTCCTGGTATTCCAAGACTGAGTTTGACAAAGGTTCACAGAATGATGGGACAGTGCCCAAGAATCAGGGCCTGCACCGAACAGGCCACACTTCTCATTCCCAACAAATTGAAGAGTAGGATCCTGAAAAACCCAAAAAGGAATCACACCTAGAAGATAACTCAGAGAAGGAGTCATTTCCTAAGGTTCTAAGTACTGACAAGAAAGCAACCTACCATAGGTAATTTACAAGCATCAACCCAGGACAGGAATTATACTAAAAGAAAATGAGAAGTTACTGCAAGGTGCAACTCGAGACACTCAGTTCATCAAGGCAAACCCAGAGAGCAATGCAGTGGGACAAGCACCTAGCCTTTCTTTCTTTCTTTTTTTTTTTCCAGGATTGAACTCAGGCCCTTGCAATTGCCAGGCAAGTGCTTATTCTACTGAGCTACCTCCCCAGCCCCACCTAGCCTTTCTGAAGTGGTAACATCAAAGCTTTGAATGAGACTTTAGAAAAAATCAAATCAGAAATTTCTCAGATAACTGCAGATACAGTAGCCACAATGAAAATCATACTTAATGACTCTAGAGTAGATATAGACAAAAAATAGCTTAAGAAGCCATGCATGTTCAGCATAGGAAAGAAATGGAATCTATTAGCAGATTCAGGCAGATATCCAGGAGAATAAAAATTCCATTGAAAGCATTTGCTGCAGATTAAGCCAATGTGAGGACCAGATTTCATATACAGAAGACAGGCTTGCAGTTAACAACCTGAAAAGAAAGATGTCTTAAAATAAGAACCATGAGAAATTATTACAGTAGCTGCTAGATAGGCAAAGAAGAGTAACTTAAGATTGACTGGAGTTGATAAAAAAAGCAGGAAATAGCATAAATGATAAACAAAATTGTTCATAGACGTCAAGCCAGAAAACTTCCCTGGTAGGGAAAAAGAATTAGATATACAGTCGGTGAGGCATACAGAACTTCAATTACCCACAATCAAAAAAATATCTATAGCCAGTCACACCATAGTCAAGATTCCACATTAATGAATTTTCTACTAGACTTTCTTGAATTACTGCAAGACTTCACATAGCATTTACTAGTTTTAGCCTAAAATATGGATTAGAACTATGCTAGGTAACAATAAAGGAGGTGGAACTGGGAATTAGAATTTTTCTTCACTGCACTAACCTTTAATATTTATCCCACATCATCTTACCTACTGTAAGCTCCTGAGTAGGACATCTAATGTCTGTGAAGCACTAAATGCACCTACATTTTGATTCAACTACCTTTCCTTAAAACTGTTTCACCCCAAGCCTTCCTCAAAAACCTAGTTGCTTAAGGCCGAAATCTAGCTGTCATTTTAGTTTTGTCTCTGATAGCAACTTAATTAACAAGTCCTCTATCTCCAAAATATATTCTACACCCATTTCCAGTAATTTGGCCTATCCTAACTAGTCTCCCTGCTTCTACTTTCTGCTGTTTGTTTTATTAAAAAGCACACCACAACCTGTTTTAAGAATATAGTTAATCTAAGATCTCTATTTCCATCATCACTGCTCTCCTTTCCTTGTTGCATATTCTTTGTATCATATTTCTGATGTGATTAAACGGCAATGATTAGAATTATAAAAGCACATAAGAAAATTCCAAAAACGAAGCAAATGCAACAGCCTCTAAAGTACTGAACTAGAATGTAATATAGAACAACACATGTTGTTTGTACAGTCAGGTTTTGTGGTGTGAGATTTGGTAAATCTCTACTCAAATCTGTTACAATATAATAATTTTATTCTGGCCAGTCCAGTCATGCAGTTAATATATACTATATAAGAATAAGTCTTCTAATACAGCTACAGTTCTTAAGAATTATGGCACAAGCATACTTAGGGCAACCAACAAAATAAGAGATAACAAATAACTATAGATTATGAATGCTTTCAATTTATTTAGTTTAATTTGTATCAAAATAAGAACATGTAGCAATTGACATTTCAAACCTATAAATCCCTGGACTCTTATAGAAAATCCTAGGACTTTGGTCTTAGATATATCATCCATTAGCCTCCATAACCTATGGAAGACATTTAACCTCCCAAAATGACAGGCAGGCATCAAACCAGATCAATTATAAGATTTAATATTCTTTGAATCTCACGGCCAATTTTCGTAGTTCAGTATTAAAGTTACTCTATTTTAGAAATTACTGCTTGGTAAACAGGACATGAATTTCTACTTAAATACAGGGCTTAAGAATCCATTTCAAGTTAAAACAAGAACAAAACCTTTGATGTGACCATATGGTGTCCATAAATCAATTTATGCTCCTAAAACTTCCTTAAAAGCTAATAACATTTTATTGGTTAATTATAAAACTGCATGAGGTGAGAAAAACACAGAACCTTGCTAATTTTACTAATGAATCAAATTTAAAGAACATAAAGTCAGTAGCTTGATTTACACAAAACACGTATCTAGAAACAACTTTTCTAATTTATTACAACTTCAAGCAAAAAAATATCAAGTCTATTTTAACACGAAGGCAGGAAATACTTAAATTTTCCAATGTCAATTTAGATGTCTAAATTTTCATATGATTGGTAAACGGTGTAGACCTTCAGTACAAGATTATACTGTATGGGATTTAATCATATAATTTATTGGGATTTAGTATATAATTATTAGGTCTTCAATTTTAAAATTTATGATTTTTAAAAATTAAGTTCAAAGTTTTATGTAAATTTAGCCTGAACTTTGAGGCTTACTCTAAGCCAGATTTAACTTACCTGTTACCAATAAATACGGATCAAATGTTTACTATTTACCAGGAATGCTTCTAGGAAGATGCTGGAAATACAACTAAAGGAAAATCGGGTTGTACATTTAAGGATGTTGGTATGACATTCAGGAAAACGAGGCAATGTGACGTGAGAAGCACAGGCACTTTTGTTAAGAGGCCACAGGTCTGCAGAAAAAAGGTGTCCTATCTTATCTTAGACATCAAGGAAGGCTCTTTGAAGTGACATCTAAGAGGGACCTTCCAGCTGTTTCCCACAGGTTGTACGAACAAGGACCATTTCACCCAGATTCATTACTTCACGGCGAAGGCCACAATATGCTATAGTTCTGATTGCATTTAGAAATAAAAGGCACTAGAAGTAGTTTCATTTCTGGAGGGGTGGAGGGCAGTGAATGCCTCTCCTCCCCCAGAGCATGCACGGTGACCGGGTCGGTTAGTCTTGCAAGCAAGGCTGTGCGGAGCGGATCGGGCTGAGGCGAGCGCAGGGAGGGGTGGTCAGCAGCTCGGGGCCCAGCGCGCGGGGAAGCGGGGCGCGCAAACGCTCAAGGACGCGCAAGGCCTGGGAGTGGGGCCGGCAGCGCGGGCTCCGGGCCGCGGACTTACCCGGACACCCTTCCTCCTCGGTCATTTAGCAGCGGGCCCCAAGCCTGCCTACTGCTGTCTCTACCTTTCTGAGTTTAGTCAACACAAGAAAAACCGGGGCCTTGACTCGCCCAGCCAGGCCGAGCAGCGGCGGGAAGCCCTTCCGAATCCCGCGCCTCCGCCGACCGCCCCGCCTCTTCCGGAAAGCA